AAACAATTCGGCCGTACACGTGACTTCCGTTTACGTGCGCTGACTTTCAAAACAAACGGATGTTCGTGCTCTTACATTTTCTAGTTGCACTTTACATTTTCGTTTGCAAATGAATGAAGCACAAATAATCATTTATCATTGAACCACCGCCCCTTGGGGCCACTTAAAGCTTGTCTTAAAGCCAGTTATCTTTCAAATAAAAATTTGAAAATGACTAGTCAAGAAAAATAACGTCTTACTCACTTTAATACGGCATGGGGTTGGCGCATAAAATAGGTAAAAAATGAACATCGTAGAAAGGGTTCTGTCAGTCGTCATCTGTACCTGTGGGTAAAAAACAAAAAAAAACAAAAAAAAGCAAAAAAGGACGTTTCGCTTCTCTCACAGAAGTTTCGTCAGCGGTAAACAACCCTGAAGTCTCCGTGAAGACTCCGGGAAGTTGCTCTGCGCTAAAAAGCTGAGCGTGGCCTGTTTGAGGACTGGGTGGGGATGGTTAGTCACGCCCCTATTGGTTTATTAGAGGCCCATTGGTTTCTAAATTCCCTATCATTGGGTCTTGATTAGGCCTATTGTTTGGGCTAAGGCTGAATAGCTACTTTCAGTTAGCCTGATCAGCATGTCTAAGTAAGGTACTGGTCAACAAGTTATTGTAAAAACCGTGAAGGAGGTATCAGATTTAACCTGTCTCCTATAAGGGACATATCTTATCTAAGTAAGGGACATAGACATGCTGATCAGGCTAACTGAAAGTAGCTATTCAGCCTTAGCCCAAACAATAGGCCGAATCAAGACCCAATGATAGGGAATTTAGAAACCAATGGGCCTCTAATAAACCAATAGGGGCGTGACTAACCATCCCCACCCAGTCCTCAAACAGGCCACGCTCAGCTTTTTAGCGCAGAGCAACTTCCCGGAGTCTTCACGGAGACTTCAGGGTTGTCTACCGCTGACGAAGCTTCTGTGAGAGAAGCGAAACGTCCTTTTTTGCTTTTTTTTGTTTTTTTTTGTTTTTTACCCACAGGTACAGATGACGACTGACAGAACCCTTTCTACGATGGAACTTTCCTGTACGACTGAGAGCCTTCACAAGTAAAAAATGAACAATAAACAAATAAATATGTTTTGTAGAATTTCAAGCGAATTTTTCTCGATATTAAAAAGTGCATAATTCAACCTTAGGAAAATCTATTTTTTTAATTTATTGTCATAGTGCACACAAAGTTATGGTTGGTTGCATTGAAACATCCATCCATTTTCTGAAGCATTCTCCTCACTCGAGTTGCGGTTGTGCTGGAGCCTTGGGTGTCATGGTGGCGACTTTTGGTTTGGAGGCAAAAGGTGGACCCAAGCGCAGGGGAGGCAGTGCAGGAGCCGTCCTCCAGGGCACGCCGGCGTTTGGGCGTGACCCTCAGACAGGTTCTTGAGTTGCGGGAGGGAGCTGATTGGTGGATACACAAGGAGCAAGGCTGACTGGAACAGGTGGAGACGAAAGTGTAAGGAGCACACAGGGGAAAGAAAATCCCAAAGCAACCTAAAGACACAAATCTGTTCCATACATACATGTGATCAAACGTGTAAATGAGGCGATTCCAGGGAATCCGACCAAAAGGTCTTGGATGGGTGCAATATGCAGGTTAGCCAGTAGTAGGCACTAGTGTGTCGCATGACTTGATGAGTGCAATATGCAGACGAGCCAGTAGTTGGCAGTAGTGTGTCACATGACTTGATGGGTGCAATATGCAGGCGAGCCAGTAGTTGGCAGTAGTGTGTCACATGACTTGATGGGTGCAGTATCCAGGCGAGCCAGTAGTTGGCAGTAGTGTGTCACATGACTTGAGGGAGCTTGCGTCTTGTGTTTGACTTGGACGTGGACATTGAACAGCATTGTGGACTTCAGACTGCTGCGTGTCCACAGCATGCCCACAATATTTGAACGTGCACGCCGTCCGGCAACAACATTGTCTTTCATTGGCTCTTCAGCGTGGTCACATGACCCTTGCCATTTTGGGGCGCCGCTCAAGTAGGTCAGGGGCCCCCGCTCCTCTCAAGTGGGGCGTGAGGTGCCATGATGGGTGCAATATGCAGGCGAGCCAGTAGTTGGCAGTAGTGTGTCACATGACTTGATGGGTGCAGTATCCAGGCGAGCCAGTAGTTGGCAGTAGTGTGTCACATGACTTGAGGGAGCTTGCGTCTTGTGTTTGACTTGGACGTGGACATTGAACAGCATTGTGGACTTCAGACTGCTGCGTGTCCACAGCATGCCCACAATATTTGAACGTGCACGCCGTCCGGCAACAACATTGTCTTTCATTGGCTCTTCAGCGTGGTCACATGACCCTTGCCATTTTGGGGCGCCGCTCAAGTAGGTCAGGGGCCCCCGCTCCTCTCAAGTGGGGCGTGAGGTGCCAAGGTTCCACCCGTTGGCCAATCCGCCGATGGTTTATCGGCATTTTTATCATGCACTAAACTTTTACGGCCGTCTCTCCGTTATCGGCGACCTTGTCACTCGCAAGTCAACCACATCAATCACGCGGTTATCTGTACTTGACATCGCAGCCTGATCCGATGGATGGATGCAGCATGCCGAACACTTTTCCTCCGTGTGTGTGAGCGTGAGGGAGAGTGCGAGTAAAGCTACCTGTACATTTGCAAAAGAATGCCGAGAGTAAGTTTTCCAGTACATAAACATATTTATTAGTAGTCCTGGCACCTGTTTTTCTGACAACGTCCCTTCTCACTCTGCCCACCTTCACCTTTTTTAACGAACATTGTGGACCATGTCAAATGACGTTCCCCCTTTTTTTTTTTTTTTTTGCATGTCGTAAGCCACTGATGCCCCCTGATCCAGATGATAAATTTGTCTGTGTGTGTGTGTGTGTGTGTGTGTGTGTGTGTGTGTGTGCGCACGCGGGTTCACCTGGAATCAACTCTATCTCTGCCTGCATGTGTGTTTTATTTGCAGGTGATGTCGCTTTTGGAATTGCGCCGCCAAAGACAACAAAGTGTGAGGACAACATGAGCACCAAAAGGCTTCGAAATATCTCATCCATTGATTTTGTTATTATCTTCATGTTGAGACTTCACAAGCTGTTCCATTGCGCCATATTTAGCCAGCGTCCTGCTCAGTGAGTTCACATGACTTGAATGTACTTGAATGGCTGCTCAACAAACCGGGACTACGATTTATTCCAATTATTGCCGGCGCACGTACCAGTGTTCAAGCTGTGTCAATTGCGTAGCGGATGTACTTTCACTAATTCATTTGACTATATTGCATTTATATGACTGTAAATATTGTATTCATATTAGGACAACATACCTTGATTCTTCTCTGATACTTGGTATAGCATGACTAGTCTGTACTCTGTACTCATCATGACTATTACAAATATTCTCCTAGTTTATATATTTAATAGGACGAGAATGCATTTGAAACGGCAGCACGTCGGCCTCACAGTGCAGAGGATTCTGGGCTCCGGCGGTCCTGTGCAGAGTTTGCATGGTCTCCCCGCCCGTGCCTGTGCGGGTTTTCTCCGGGTACTCCGGTTTCCTCCCACATTCCAAAAACATCCATGGCAGATTAATGGAACACTCTAAATTGTCCAAAGGTGTGATTGTGAGCGTGGATGGTTGTTTGTATATGTGTGCCCTGCGATTGGCTGGCAACCGGTTCAGGGTGGGGTCACCTACTGCCCGCAGATGACTGGGATAGGCGCCCACCATACCCGCGACCCTTGTGTTGAGACACAGGTCGACATGACGTCCCCAAAATGACATGGCCACATTTGATAACATTTGCAGAGGCACCTGAAAGGGCGCAAAGACAGCATGCCAAGACTTGTGAGGACACGAGAATCATGATAGTCCACTTGAACATCAAAACGGGCCAAGCAGGTAAGTCTGGACGTACTCGAAGCCAAACGGCATTTAAGGACCCAAGATGACAAAGATGCAACCAACGTCTTTTGATCTCAATCTTTACTGCACCATAAAAAAAAGGAAAAAAAGTTGAGGCAAGCGCACCCGTGTTGTCTTTGGGAACATTTCGACCTGACGTGAACCTTTCCACACTGCAAAGGCGGCTGTCCTTATTTCGCTCCGGACCAACGTTCCAGAAAACTCAAGCCTGCTGCTGCTGTTGTTACAACATGCATTTTGGAGCATCGCCACCAATGATCAGCATTATTTTCTTTAGCGTGTGTGTGTGTGTGTGTGTGTGTGTGTGTGTGTGTGTGTGTGTGTGTGTGTGTGTGTGTGTAGCACTGCAATGGTGCCTTGAGATTTGAGTAGCCCCAAGTGTGTCAAGAACCTTTCATCCAATGTTTTGCTTTGAGGTGCAAGCTCAAACTGGACATACGAGTGCTCTAGCTATGTTGGGAGTGAACTTACTTTTATTCACTTGGGAGTGAATAAAAGCATCCATTTGGTTTGGCAAACAGTGAACAACTCTTAAAAAAAAAAAAAAAGCTTCGATGTGTTTCAAACAACCACATAGGACTGTAGCTGACCCTTTCAGTCCGCCAACTGAATGCTAACGCTAATGATCATCTATGCTACCATCCTTCAAGCAATGGCTTGAGCACAAAGTGTGCAGCAAAACACGTAGACAGACCATTTAACAGGACTCACAGTTATGTGTTCTTTAGCCTCTGCATGGAACAGTTGGGTGCGACGTGCACAGACGCCAACAATGTGTCAACGGAGGCGGACAAAAATCTCACGAGTGACTGTGAGGCAAGCGACTTGGCCAGCAGAGGGCGCGCCTCGTCTTTGCCGAAGCCGCTGGCAGTCGGGGGCCATCTTGCCGTGCAAGTGGGCAAGCCCCGACAAAACTAGCCCTGCCCCCATTGGCCGGTCGCCTCGCCCACTCTGCCCCAATTGGCCAGTAAGCTCGCTCACCCTTCTCCTATTGGCCGACCGGCTCGCCCGCTTCGTGCCGATTGGCCGCTGCGGGGAGCGCGGAGCGCTAGAAAGCCAGCCGAGCCCGACCCGCTCGCCACTCACGTACGTCGAGCCCCAGCTCGGAGGAGGAGTAGGAGGACGACCGCGAGCACCACCGGCCAGGAGAAGACGAGCGACGGCGACAGTAATGTTCTAGAAGAAGCTGACTTTAGTTGGAGTGCTCGGATCTGAGCTTTTGTTTTCCCATGAGTGCTGCCAGGTGAGAGCTTGACGTCAACTTCCAAAAAAAGTCCTTTGCCAGTCGTCACGTCGCTTCCGTTTTGAGCGTTGACAGCTTAAACGTAGTTTAAACAGCCAAAAAGAATCCAGTGACCAAGTTAAGTCAAAGGTCTGCATAAGTGCTGCACAGTTGACAAGTATTCTGGGCCTCAGGAAGTTGAATGGAGGCCACTTCAAATCTTTTTCAAGGTCAACTTTTGACGAATAATTGACGTTTGAGACGTACGCAGTCTTTTTTTTTTCTCTTCGGCTCACGTCAAGTTGTCGTGGCATTGCAAAGCCCTGGTTGATTGAGAATCTGCAAAGAAAACTTGTTTCTTCTTTTCTTATTCCTCCTCCACTTCTGCTGCTCTAACAAGACCAAAAGTAACAATAAAAGTTTTGAACTCAAGTAGTACACCCGTCTCATGTTGATTTCACAAAAGATGAATTGAGGCAACAATTGCCTTGAACCAACCTGGGGAAGTACGATGAACTGGGAGACTGAGAATCTACCCAGATTTCGTCTTCTGTTCAGGCAAGATGAAGAGTAACAAATCATCAAGTCAAGTAACTTGAAGTTACATTAACTCAAGCTGAAGTGGAATTGAGTGGTGGGGGGTGGGGGGTGGGGCTTGCTTCCACTTTTTGCGGCTTGTTGTGACCCGAGTGACCGACATTAATAAAGTGCCTGCTCTGTCCTCATATTTCCTTCCTTTAATTTGCTCAGACAAACTGAAAAGTCACCAAATACCTCAAGGAACTTGAAGTGACTCGAGCAAAAGTTGGCACCTGTCCGGGTGCCTCCAATCTTTAAATTTTTTTACGGATTTATTATGAGCGGGTGGGATACTCGTCCACTTTCTTCTTCTGTCAGACGTAAAAGAGTGTCAACTTTGAAGCATTGAAAAGCATTGTGCCTCACTCACCGTCTCTTCCTGTCCCGACGCGCAGCCTTCTGCGGTCCTTCAGTCCGTCGGCGATGCCCGGGCCGGTCATGCCCATGGACGTGGCCATGCGCTTCTACATCAGCCACTCTCCTCCTCCTCTCAGGGGCTTCCTGAGCTCCTACGAGGCTCCTTTCACTCGGAGCAAGAGGCGGGACCGGGCCGCCGCCACGGCCGCCGGGCTCAGGCCCTGCCTGAGCAGCCAGCAGCGGGCGGCGCAGCACGAGGGCTGGAGCAGCAAAGGCGAGAAGAAGAAGGTGGTGTTTGCCGACTCCAAGGGAATGTCGCTCACCGCCGTCCGCGTCTTCTCCAAGAACGAGGAAGAACGCAACGGTGATGAGCTGCAGTTCGATATGAGCGACCTGGAGAACGCCGCCATGGACCTGAAGATCAGCTCGGCGTGCAGCCTGGAGCTGGACTTCAAGCAGCCCTCGGCCGACTACCTGGACTTCAGGAACCGCCTGATCCGGAACTCGGTCTGCTTGGAGAACTGCTCGCTGCAGGAGCGCTCGCTCACCGGCACGGTCAAAGTGCGCAACGTCGGCTTTGAGAAGTGCGTGCGTGTGCGGGCCACCTTCGACTCGTGGGCCAGCTTCATGGACGTGGACTGCACCTTCATGAACAACGTGTACGGCGCCAACGACACCGACACCTTCGCCTTCGTTCTGGACCTTCCCGCCGACATCCCGCCGCACAACCGGGTGGAGTTCTGCGTCTGCTTCGAGGCCCGGGACCGGACCTTCTGGGACAACAACGACGGCAAGAACTACGGGGTCAAGCACGTGGGTTGGACCGGCGTGTCCTCTCCGGCTCCGGCCGAGCAGCAGAAGGCGAGCGGCGTCAAGGTTGTGGAGATGGACCTGGACCAGTTGGGAAGCCCTCGCATGTGCAGCGGCTTCTTTCCGGGCTGGCAAAGCTGGAACCACGCGGACGCCTCCGTGCCCTACTGGTGACGGGCTGCCACTTGACTGCGTCGACGACGGACGTTACGTCCTTCATATTGAAGGGGAGCCGGCCGGCCTACCAGCCGCCGGCCAGCCAGTGAGCGAGCGAGTGTGGGTCCTGACGGATGCAAGGCAGATTTTTTAGGGGGATGGGGGGGGGGTCTTCTGCCTCTTGGACATGCCGATGATGTCATCAGAGGGCGACTGCACCTTTTTATTGCTTCACACGCTTTTGGTACTTCCGCATGCGGTCTCCCGCATCTTTGTGATTTGCACAGTTTGTGTGCGTGCGTGCGTGCGAGGCTGCCAATCAAGTTTCATTTTCTTTTGGCAAAGGAAGTAGTGTTGTTTGGAATAAAAGTTTATATTTGTGCACTGCTGTCTCCATTTAATCGATTGGTTGAGGATTCAGCACGGCGAGCGCTCTAGGTTAGCGTGTCTGCCTCACAGCTCGGAATCTGGGCTCCGCCCATCCTGTGTTCAAGGGGCTTTTCTGCAGGCGCTGCCGCCTTCCAAGAAAGGCATATTGGCTTCATGAGCCCGCCACCTTCAAGACTACAGATGCAAAACAATCGGGTGAACTGGTCGCCAGCCAATGGCAGGGCTGGCACCTTGTAAACGGCGCGTGAGCCCGCGCGTTAAGGCTGAGAACTTAAGTAGGGGGGGGGGGGGCTTTGGCGTCAGACGTGACACGCCTTCCGTGCAACGAATCCGTGCGACCGCTCAGGAAGGAAAGCCGGCCGCTCCTCCATCTTGGACTCATCATCCTGACCGGGGAAGAATCTCCGGCGGGCAGGATCACGACTTCCTGCTGCCACGTTCCTGACGGCGGCTCACAGCTGCAATCGCACACGCAAACATTCGGTTTGTGAAATGAAAACGTGCCTTCCACACACACACAAAAGCCAGACCAGATTTTCCATTGGCAAATAGCCAAAGCAGGTGGAACAGAGGTCTCACTAACGCACACAAGCACAAAAACGGCACATCTTCATGCTCCTTCGACAGAGCAGCCACATCCAGATAGGTCCCCCACCCCAAAAAACAGAAAAAAAAAAATCGAAAGAATCAAAAGGTTGAACATGCTTCCTTCTAGATGATGATGCAAATGAGCAGCGCAAACACAAGAGAACAAAAAATAGGGAAACTTAAAATAAGAGCAGTAGGAACAATTGCCGTCGAAGAAATGCCACCAGTCGGGAGAGAGCAATGTCTCCCAGGCACCAGCGGCGGTTAAACTTTCAAAACAACTTTATTTGCGACACGCCAACACCTTATTGATGAGAGTTGGTCCAAACACACACACACACACACACACACACACACACACACACACACACAGACAGACCGCAATCAGACATGCGTTCAGGTCACACAGTCAAGTCTGAACAGGCCAAGAACTGGTAGCACAGCGCTAATGTTAGCACAGCGATAATGTTAGCACAGCGCGAATGTTAGCAGGTCGTTTTGCAAGTACACGTGTCAAGCTAACTTCCAATGAGCCAAAACAAACCCAAGGCAGCTGAACCAACATGGGTTGCCGTGGCAAGCGCTAGAATGCGCATACTGTCGCTAACTGACGGAACTAGCTTAGCGTAAGCTAGCTGGGTGTGGTGTGATGCAAACGAGGTTCGTCCAGCTTAGCCGGCTTCCTTCGCAAGATTCTTTCTTCGCTTTCCTCTTTGATATGTTATAGAGGGAACGGTCGCCAACCTTCTGCGACTAAACTGCTAGGGGTTGTGTCACTTATTTTAATAAAAGACCAATCTGTTCATTTTTTTTAATTGATCAATGAATTGGATTCAAAAAACATTTTTAAGTGCCTCTTTTATTCAACGGCAGGACAATATTTTGAATTGACAGTGCAGAAAATCCATGAGCAAAGAAATGATGATTCAGCAGCTAGTCCGGTCCATAACATTGGCCTCGAAATCAGCCCAAAACATTGATCATTGTTTTGCAAAGTAAAAGCAAGCGTTTGCAAAAGTCTTATTTGAGTCAACACAAAAGATAAGTAGTCAGTCGTCAATATTTACTGTTGAGAGGTTGAAATGCCGACAATCTGGAGTCAAACCAGCTCTCGAAACACACAAACCGATTCTCCAAACCGGTGTGGATTAAGTTGATCATCGATCATTCGTTGAGGAATTGTTGCAATTCCGCTTGAAAGCCATTTAGCTAATCCAAAGTGCCTGGCCGTGCAGACTTCACTTCAAGATCAGATAAACGCCAATAAGTCCAGATAGAAGACAGAAAGGCGTGGAAGCAAAAATAGGATAAGATAAAAAGCTCGCTTCTCACTTGCTGCTCAGCCTCTTTATCAAGTGGGTCAACTCGGCTCTGATAAAAGCTCGCGCAGAAAATCGCAAAGATGCGTCCATCGCGCTCCTGGTCCGAGTTTTCCGAGGTCTGTCGCGGTCTTCGGGACACGTTCCTTCAAGTCCTCAAGGTTCCCAGTTTCCAGGAGCCAGTTCAGCTCTTTTAAGTCCTTCAGCTTTTGGAGGTCACATTCAGTTCTTTTAACCACTTCAGGTCTTTCTATTCTCAAGTAGTCGTCTCAGTTCCTTCCAAATCTTTGGGGCCATTTTCAGATGTCTGAGGTTCTCTGCCCCCCTTCAATCCCTCATATTCTCAAGTGTGCAAGATTATTTTCAGTTCTTTCAGGTCCTTCAGTTTTCCAAGTTCCATGTCCTTCCTTCGGGTCTTTCTCACCTCCAGTAGCATTTCCAGTTTTTGAAAGTCCTTCAGGTCTCCTTTGTCCATTGCAGTTGTTTCAAGCCATTCAGGTGGGCTACTTTGTGGCTGCGTGTGAGGTGAACATTCCATACGCGCGTGGAAGGGAAGGCTTCCATCGTGATGTGTGAGTGACAGCTGCTGTAACTGGACCTCAGCTGAGCTCACATCGGCTGATCAGCTGCTGGCGGTCTTGACAGGGGTGACATTTCTCTGCTTTTGTCCAAGTACCAATCATGAGAACCTCAATGTTGCTACGGAAATGTTGGCATCGCATCAAGAGTGAGAGAAATGGCAGTCTTTGGTCACAGACTCTTTGTGTGTGTGTGTGTGTGTGTGTGTGTGTGTGTGTAAGATAAAAAAAACCACCATGGTAAGTGTTGTGTTGCAAAAATTCAACCAACAATTTATTTTAAAACATTTTGACAGTGCAGAGTACGGTTTGACGGTCCACAGACTTTGAATGACAAAAAGTGCATTGCATAATAGCACTTCTAAAATTAGACGCAAATTGGCTAGTTGCCAACTTCTAAATTGGATTCGTGGCTTGAATTCTTCGTGCGGAAGATTTAAACCCACTTGTACAGTGTACCATTTTTTTGGATACAGTATATATTTTTTCATCTTTGAAATGAAAAAGGAAAGCACTTTTTACCTAGCGGTGCGTTTCAGGCTGTGTTGGCAAACAACAAAGTCAGGATGGCCATTCGAGGCAAAACCGCACGCAAACTGGTCTCCTGAGAGCGACGTCATCAGCTGGCTATTTTTTCGTTGGCTGCTGCTTAATGACGCCACTTCTATGCGACACGCATCAAAGGACTACCACTCCCAGTCGACTGTCCAACTTTATGTCCTTCGGCTCACAGCCGTGCAATAATATCGAAATAAATACATTTAAAATCAACCCCAAAGGGTCGTGCATTTAATTAATCGCCAAAAATGAAAAAAAACGGGAAATTTTCGCTGTTATTATAGTTAGTTTTACAAACGTAAAATGTAGTTTCAATTAGTTTTGGTTTCTGGAAAGCATTTTCGTTTTTATTTTATTTCTTTAATGAAATTTTTTTTTCAATTTTAGGTGTTTGGTTTTTCGTTTGTGATGGGGACACCATGTGACAGGAAGTGATTTGAGAATAGGATGTCCCGCTGATTTTGACGCTCACAACAACCTCCACGTACTTCCAACATCAATCCGATGAGGAACAGGAGTTACAGTGCGATGTATTGCTGTCGGATTATTCCTGTTATATTATTATCGTTACGAATGGATCATTATTTCGGGGATTAGGATAACCACTTTTATTTGGATTGTTATGACTAGGATTACATAATTGTTGGGATTACTGGGAATATTGGAACTATCAGTATTAGTTTGATCATGTTTACAAGCACTATTATTATCATAATTATTTGGATCGTTATGAGGATTAGTACGAGCATCAGAACTATGATTATCAGATGTATTATGTATTATGGTTATGACAATTATTGTGGATATTAGATATCAGGTACAGGCCTGCCCACCCTGGCACAACACCCATGTTGGGAGAAAGTCACGCCAATACATATTTACTAAGCCTTTCACTCATGCACACACAGGACATGCGGTGAAATGATGATGATGATGATGAATATGAGTAACAATGATACGTTTGTAATTTGCGATTCTGATGTTTGCACTTTTGGTGGACAGTGCTTGGGGCGAGCGTGCAAATGGTTTTTATCGTGTGCACAGATTTGAGCATGAAAAAGCAAACCTGAGTCAGGTGATTGTCATAAAAGGATCATCAAGGTGCACCGTATACAATCTTCCATAGGAATATTTCATTTTTCAAAGCGACATCTCTGGCTGCATGTCAATCACAAACACTTGCGCAAGTTGTCTGGGACTCACATCTGGGGCGGGGCAGGGGGGCGGTGGCGGCATGAAGTCTTTATTGCCTTCAGCAGTGACTCTGCACTTTTTGCCCAGCGTACTTATGCAAGCTCCAAGAAAGAATTTACAAGAAGCAGCAAGGCCTCCTTGTCTGGGGACCAAACAGCAAGCACAAGCACTGACCTACTTTTACAAGCTCAATTCCAATATTTATTACGTTAGGTTGCATTCACCTTTATTCCGTTCATTTGCCTGCATTTCCACTGACCGTACTGCTTCCTCGCATGTATAAAATGTCAATTTTTTTACTTTTTTTTTTTGTCCAATCAAATTGCAGCCTGTCTGTATTGCCACATCAAAATAAAAACAGTTTCAATGAATTTGGCACCCTGTGTTAAACATAAATACAAACAGAATACAATGATTTGCAGACCAAGATTTCATTGAATACGCTACCAAGACATTAAAAGTTCAAACTGACCAACGTGATTGTTTGAAGCAAGTCATCATGAACTAAAATAATTATGGTTGCATGCATTCCGAGTGATAATTACCACTGTGTTACACCACCTTTTCTTTTCATCGAGGACACTAATTATTGTAGGTGAAATTGTTTCCCATTCTTGCTCGATGGGAGACAGGTCTGGACTGCAGGCAGGCCAGTCTAGTCCCTGCACTCTTTGACTATGAAGCCACGCTTTTGTAACACGTGCAGAATGTGCGTTGGCATTGTCTTGCTGAAAGAAGCAGGGGCCTCCGTGAAAAAGACGTCACTCGGATGGCAGCATGTTTCTTCAAAACCTAAATGCACCTTCGAGAATTAATGGTGCCTTCACAGATGCTACTGGCACTAACATAGCCCCACAGCATCACAGATGCTGGCTTTTGAACTTTCCGGATGGTTCTTTTCCTCTCTGGCCCGGAGGACACGACATCCACAATTGCCCCAAACTATTTGAAATGTGGGCTCGTCGGACCACAGGAGACTTTTCCACTTTGCATCAGTCTGTTTTAAATGAGCTCGGGCCCAGAGAAGTCGGTGCGACTGCTGTTGAGAAATGGCTTGCCTGCAACCCACCACTTGAGAAAGATTCATCAGCCAGCAACAGGAAGTGATGTGACAGGTCATACCTGACGAAACTTGAACATTCCCAAATTCTTTGTGTGTGCGTCACGCAACTCTCCCAGGGAATGACTCGTGTCTCGAGTTGGGTAACGTTGTCATTTGTGAGACTGTGTCCGGTTGTTGTTTTTTTCTTTTTTTTAAATATGGACAAACAAAATGTCACGTCAAAGTGGGGCCAAGAGAGGAAGTGGGAGGAGCTTTGATGAAGAAGGGAAGGCTGAAAGACAAGGGGTGTGGCTAATGCGGTTGTTTTGGAACTTGACTGAGGAGGGCAAGTTTGTTTGCAAACAAGACGAGGACTTTGAATGGAGCCCCTGGGATGGGGAGGGGACACTGTGTGTGTTGTGGGGGTGGGGGCTCTCGAATGTGGGTTAAGTAAAACAATGTCAATACAGCCAACCAATAAGCACTCCACACCATGGGCCCCACACCCTGGACCCCAAATCCCGACAGTAAACAGATCAATGAATGAAAAAGGGCAGTTGAAAGTCATTGGCCAAGCACCTGTCACGTTTGAGGGTGTGCGTGTGTTGCGGCGTGGGCGAAACTACCAAATAAGAGGTGGTAGTGCAATTCCCTTTAGTTACTCAATGACTAATCTGGCTGTGCCCTACTTCCTCTACAACCATACTGTAAATACTTAAATACATACACCATGCAGTTAAATATTTACTCACCTTAACTTATGCTGGAAGTAAATTCATACGACACATCCATCCATTTTCTAATTGTCTTATCCTCATGAGGGTCGTGGGTGTGCCGCAGCCTATCCCAGTTGTCTTTGGGCAGTAGGCGGGGGACACCCAGCCAATCGCAGGGCACACATAGACAAACAACCATTTGCGTTCACATTCACACCGAGGGGCGGTGTTCCATTAGCCTGCCGTGCATGTTTTAGGAATGTGGGAGAAAACCGGAATACCCGGAGAAAAGCCACGCAGTCACGGGGGAGAACATGCAAACCCCACAGGGGATCGCCAACACTAGTACCCGTCTGTCCCATGTTGTGGTTTTAGCTTGTTGGCCGGCACGCAAGCTCGATGACTGTTGCCTATTATGAATCATATACGTGTTTCATTCTGGCAATGGAGACGAGTCTTTGTGTGGACCACACAAAGCTTCAACCAAGACGTTTAATGTCAAACTTTCACATCATCGACGACAGCACACAGGAGGTGAACACACGCTAGTCTCAACGCAACGATATTCTCGTTGCTAACAACAACAAATGCTGAGACAGACATCTTCTAGTCACCAGCTACTAGTTGTAAGCTTCAACCCGTCATTTGTTCGCCATTGGCGTCTCGCCGTCAGGTTGTCAAGTTCTAGCCGCCGACTTGTAGTAGTCAATTTTTGGCTGTTATTTAACGGTCATCGGGTTCTAGTCGCCATTTTCTCATCGTCAGTTTCTGGCGCTCATGTTGTAGCGCTCACTTGGGGACTCCTATGGAGCAAAAGAGACAAAGAACCTTTGAGATTAAGCCGCTTGTTATTAGGGGGGCGCTGGAGGCTCCATGGGTTGGGGGCCACGTTGCGACCCACATTATCCACTTTGGCTCCTGGCCACTGGTGCCGCTTTGGGAACTTGCGCACATTACCATGGAAACCGGGCCGGCAGGGCAGCAGAGGGGCAGCCACAGTTTGAGGGGCAACGGTGCTGATTCTTTACCCCTCCCTGCTTTATTTTGCGCTTTCTCCTCCTCACGATACACTCTGTCTACTGCTAAGCTAATGCTAAAGCTAACACGTGTCAATGCCGCAGCTGTCAATCAAAAGGGTTTGGATCCTGCAGCGTGTGCTTCTTCAACGCGGCACTACATCAAACATTGACAAAGAGTCTTCAGGTCCTTGTCGGCTTCTCGTGGTCACGTTCTAGACACCAGACGCCGGCAGTCACAGTGTCTTCACAGGGTTGCACTCATCAGCTTCTAGTTTTCAGGTTCTAACAGGTCCTTGTCGGCTTCTCGTGGTCATGTTCTAGACACCAGACGCCGGGGTTGCACTCATCAGCTTCTAGTTTTCAGGTTCTAGTTGTCAGGGTCTAGGTCTGCAGTTCTGCCAGCTTCGAGTTGTCAGGTTCTTGTAGTCCTCAGCTTGTAGTTGTCGGGAACAAGTCAGGTTGAGGTCAGCCATTTCTAGATCTCAGGTTGCGGTTGTCACCTTCTAACCAGATTCCAGCTGTCTAGTTCGAGTGGTCAGATTGTCGTCATCCATTTCGTATTCAGCTTCGAGTTGCCAGGACGTAGTCATTGTCTGCTCTTTTTGCGCTGATAAGCTAATGCTAAAGCTAAAAGGCATCAGTGTTGCAGCTATCACTCAAACAGCTGCCGATCAAAAGGCTTGTGCTGCTGCAGCGTCTAAACACACCACAATGTCAAACTCTCGCGAAAAAAACAAAAAACAAAACAAAACGTCAGACTGGTGACGTTTCGCACAATAGCTGCTAACTTTCTCAGCACGTAGCTTAGCTGGATTTACATTTTCGGACTCGCCACCTCACCTTGAGGAACACGGCGATACTGCGATACGCTTGCGGCGCTAACTTGTTCAGGTGCTTAAGTATGATCTCGATAAATAAAAGCAAAATTACAAATTGTCCGTTTAAATAAAAGTAGCAAAACAAAGAGCACTCAGGGACGCTAAAATGGCTAGCTAGCGCCCAACTGGAGGGGCAAGGGGAGGAGAGATGTCACTCGAGGCCGAAGCCCTCCGCGTTGGAGATGGCGATGGTGAGCTTGTGTTTGAGCTCCTTCTTGCTGCGATACGGCGGCAAGCAGATCTGATTGAAACACGTGTGCGACACGGGAAGCCTGAGGACACACAAACATGTACACGCTTAGCCATGGCTGTCACAATGTGCTACGCTTCCATGAACAACAGGGCTGCCAATAGGGAGGAGCTTGTCAAGAGTTCAAGACGTAGCCATTTGGTGGCTAAATTTAGCCCCTCGGCCAACCCGTGTCCCAAAATAACGTGACTTCCTGCGAAGAGCTTGGTGGAAGGCAATGGCGCAGTCAGACTGAGGAGTGTTAAGTGTTAGCATTGATAGTCGCAGCTTATAAAAGTAACAGATATGTGAACACAAACAGCGGAGCGACACATTTAGAGATATAATTGGAGGGCCCATTAAATCATATCATACAAAGAGTTCTTACGTTCCATCTTATGATGATGTTTTTTTTTCATAAGGCACGATAATGTAAGGTGCTAGTTTGAAAAGAAGTACAGTATAAAAATTGTAGCTTTTTTAAATGGGGGCGCTGGAACGGACGTCATTTCATTATACTTGGGGGGAAGATCATTTGAGATATGAGTGTTTTGAGTTATGAGCGTGAATTCAACTTGTATCTCAAGGCCCCACCATTTTTGACGTGAGGCAAACACGGTTCATTCTCCGTCCGCGTTGGAAACGTCTGGCACCAGGTTAGCGCATCTAAGCCAGAAACATTTGCCCAAGGTGACCTCGCCTCATTCATGTTAGCACATGCCTTCACGCACATTAGCTATGAAAAACAAATATTTATTTCTCTTCTGAACAATGTCATTGCAAAGTCTGATTTTTGCACAGTTGATTTTGCACTCGGGGCTGTTTGCGCAAATGTGACCTTGGTGACGAGGATGAGCACCATTTGGGTTCGTGTGTTCATAATGCGTCAGACCAAAGCGTCACTTCTGCTCGTACCAGTCGGTGGGTGCGTCGATCTTGGAGATTTTGAAGTTGAGCTCGGCCATCCCTCCCACGGGGATGCGGTCGCTTCCTGTTGCAAAGTGCAGAAGTTTCTTTTGAAGATCCACGGGGAACGACAGCACCACCTCCCAGAAATTCCTGCACGCACACACGCACGCACTCAGACTCATTTTTGTTTTGATTTTTCTAATCCACTGAGGACGTGCTGATCATCACAAGCGGCGATGATGGGCTGGATAATAATAATGTTGCGTAAAAAACATGAGGCAGCTTGTTTTCACTTTTAGACAGTTGCCTGAGTGTATTTGCGCGCATGTTTGTTGATGTGTTTGGCTAGTGTACTTCGTGTTAGTTGGCGAGTTCAGCGTTGTCTTGTGCTGACTCGACAGAAGTAGAAATGCCATCATTTGTTGGTACTTGAAGTTGGCCCCGAGGAAAAGCAAGCGAGCTTTGTTTGTTGTTTGCTGTATTCATACGAGGTTTTCCTGTGTCTCTTATTTGGGCGCGTTACAATATTCAAAGTGTTTGGAACTCGACTGTGCAGGACTACATTTCCAAATACAATTTTCTTCTTTATCTCCTTGCGCTGCTTTTTATCTTTGGCGGTCAATATTTTGTGTGTTTCGCATGTCACATATGCAGTCTGCGGTGAAGAAGGAGTTGCTTATTCTTTGTGAGCTTCTCTCATCATGGGCCGAAAAACAAACGGATGGCGATCGGACAAGGTTTGTAACTGGAGGAAACAGCAAGCCGGCTTTGAGCGCGCGTGTGTCTGTCACCTGATGGTGGCGTCGCTCTTGCTGTATCCTTCGTAGTGGGCGGCTTTCTGCAGGGCGCTCATGTCCAGCTGAGGGCTTCCGCACACCAACATCTCCACTTCCTCGGGACGAAGCAGCTGCCGCGAGAACGGGGAACCGCATCAACCCCCAACGCCATCCGCAACGGGGCAATTCTCAACTGAAACAACTGCTCTCGTTATTGTTGATGGCGTCATCGGTTCCTCCATTTGGATGTTTCAGTCGGAGGTTTGTTTGTTTGTGGGTCCGCGTGACGTCATCGAGTAAAAAGTTTGCGTTGTGTGAAATCGAAAGCAGGAAGTTGGCATACCGACATTGTCCCAACTTCCCGTTGATGAACAGTTACAAGCTGCCGCCAAACCACAAACCCCTGGGCGCCCCGCAGCCAAACTCGGGTGATGCGCTTGGGTCAAAAGGCACAGGTCGCATGAACTTTGACCTCCTTGTGTGAAATGTGATGGGTGACACGACTGAGGTTCAAAGGCATCAAATCAAAAAATGCCGGAGTAGAGTTCACCTCATCTGAGTGTTGCCGCAGAGGAAGTCATGCAAGACTGGGCAGCAGGCGACATCATCTTTGTCACCCGCTGCCGGGAGACGAGTGATGCCATGCATCCGCTCAACACTTTGCTCATGCACAAGTGTAACATGCGTGTATCATGCCTGTGCCCTGCGTTAACATGGGCATGTTATGTGTGCGTCACATTTGTATTGCGTGAGTTAACGCATGTCTAACGTGTGCGACGTGCACAAGAGCGGCCTACGTGTAAACGAGCAACCGACGGTGTGCGTATCGTATGTGTCATGTCGCATGCGAGCACTGGGAGGGGGTGGAACATTATGCAGGTGAGCAACGAGCTTGTATGGTGTGTGAGCAGGTCATGCGTGAGCCAAACATGAGCTGTAACATACGCGCATGGTGGGCGCGTGTGACGTGTCTCTGGAATGAATGTGTGCAACCCGTGTGCAAATTGTGAGTGTAACCTGAGTGAAGTATGACTTTAGCATCACCCGTACAAAGTGAAAGTGTATCACCCAACTGACCATGAGGGCATCGGAGGCGCAGACGCTGTGGAAGCCGTGGTAGAAGGCGGCAAACTGCTTGCAGATGGATTTATTCAGCAGGAAGTCCACGTACAGCTGCACGTACTCTAGCAAGGGAGCAACAACAACAACAACAACAACAACACATTGAGCACATCTGAAAGACAGCCAGAAACACGCCTGTCACCATACATCAGTGGCATAGACAGAAGGACAAAGAAAAGTCAATAATAATGAGAATCCAGCACCATACCCTTCCGGTTGTGTTTGGTGACAGCAATCTTGTCTCCTCCTGGCTTCAGGTTGTATGACTTAACCACGCCCATTTCCTCCTGCGACACCTGCGACACAACGGGCCTCCATGTTATCATGTTTGCTAGCATGTTTAGTAACAGAGTAACCTTTATGTTAAGATGGTAGCGTATTCATTAGGCAATTTATTAGCGCGTTTGCCAGCATGTTCAGTAACTTGTTTGTTAGCATGGCTTTTAGCATAGTCAAAACGTTCTTCTACTTATCAGTGTTTATGGGCATATTCATTCGCCCATTTATGAGCCTGTTCATGAGCAAATTCATTCCCACGGTCATTAGCCTGCTGGTTAGCATGGCTGGCGTCTCATGACCAAGTGCTGCAAGACTAAAACGGCACCATCATTTAAAACGGTTTCGATTCTTTCTTTGTCATCGCACGTCATGACCACAAGACGACAAATTGCAGATTGTGTCCAACAACAAGCCCATAAGCAAGAAAAAAAATACAGCGTGTAGGAAGCCATTTCAATTCTCACGTCGCAATTTCTTCGGCGATGTACCATACGGGCCACAAACATGCTATGATTAGGAACACGAAAGTGGTCCAGTATGATAAGCACGGTGTGTGCAGTGTACTATGCAGTGCAAAGTGCAGGGACTGAGGAAAAAAAAAACATACAGTACATGTGTACACGAGTGCAATACATGATCACACACAAGGTGTTACGTTCCACAAAAGTGCTGCACTGAGATGCGGATGATGCACTTTGGAGTTTTACAAGATACAAGCCGCCATTCGGCTGATTTTGGGCTTGGACTTGCATGTTCAAACCTGAGATATGAGCGCTGCACGGCCGCCGTGAACTCAACTCGCTTCGTTTGGCGGCAGCAGGTCAACTCATTGCTCCAAAAAAAGAGACTTCATATTGTCCAATGACTTCATGTATACTTCAAACAAGAATGTAGCTTCTTAGCCTTTCACTTTGCCAGCTTCATGGAGCGAGCGACGGGCAGAGGCCGGGGTCGAACATTCTGGGGGACGTAAGAGGGCGCACTGTCATCGACGGGCGAATTAAGTTAGGAAAGCTGCCCACAGGGTGAACACATTTTTTCGGGGCAAGGTCATTGTTGCTCGCATGTAGAAGAGGCATTGGGCTGTCATCAATATGTGCAGCTAAGGCCCATTGTCTTCCCAGTCAGGCCTTACTGGAAGAGGTCTGGAGTGACTTCCTGCTAGCCGCTAGCCACATTCCACACGCGCATGAACATGCACACACCCTCCCCTCAGGCTGATACGTAATGTTTGCCTCCACTTTGATGTGACTTACTTTTAGAAGTCAGCTGCTGCTTTCACTTCAGTAGCGAGAAGAACATGAATGTGTCTGCGTGCCCTCTGAATTCATGGCTTACATTCCGTTCATGTACATGATATTTCACGTACTCAACAACGTACATCGGTCAAAGTATTTATGCTGATGCTTTTTCTTAGGCTCATTTGGAATGTTTGGAAGGTCATCGTCATGAACAAGACTTTCATGAGTTGTTGTTCATAGTAATTGACAGTCGTAACAAGCAACAGACGAATGCACGCCGAATCGCTGAGCAAATTAGGTGACAGAGATTTTGATCACCAATTATTTGCTTCACTTAAAATGCTGATAAATTTCAGCCTGTCACCTGAAGATATATTGCAATTTCTGTCATCATCTGTGAAAGCAGACTGATTGTTTTTCCAAGACAAGACATTTGCAAATATCGGCCTTTACTTTTGAAAACAGTGAGCCACACGTCCATGCACATGTAGCACATTTGACAATGAAGTTGACTTGAACTTGAACTTGAAGATTTTAGACGATGTTCTGATGGATGTTAGCTCGCGAGAAAAACCAGTATGCCAAAATGCTATTTTTCCACCATACACCAGAGAGATTTGTTTTCCTTCCCTCAGTTAAACTGCACGACTTTGAACTGCATGAGACTTTTTGCGTGTGAAGACATTTGTGCATGACAACCTGGAAAGTGAGGCACACGTCTTCCTCCACGTTCCCGTCGAAATTCAGCAGCTCCTCCAAACCGTGAGCCAGCTCCTGTCCACACACACGCACACACTATGAGGTGATATGATTTATTTGGATACTTTCAGTCAAGGTAACAAGCTGCTCTTTTTGCACTCCTATTACACAACTACTGGCACACTTTTAGCACACAAGCCTGTCTTCTCTGTGTGTGTTTGTGTGTGTTTCTGTGACCTTTTGGAAGGGCTGTGCGCTGTTCTTTGCCTCTTGCTAACTTTAACAGAAAGACACACACCCACACCCACACAGATTAAATAAGTGCGCAGTTAAACTCGACACAAAGGAGTCAGTGTGTCAAATGAATAACTTGACTTTGTCTCCCTCTGGTGGCACTAGCGAGAAGTGCGGTGGAATAGGACAGGCATTTCAAACTCATTTTGAGTCACGTCTTCCCCCGGGCGTTATGACAGTTAAAAACAAATCACGTTATTACTTGTACACAACAAATTCATAGACTACTAGTTTTGAAATCAGTCCAATGAAGTATAATAGTCTGTTCATTATTGCAAAATCTCAAAATTATTCATTACACGTGACAATTTGACATTTCGGTACAGATTTCAGCAAGGATGCAGAGATGATTTGCTTTCGCGGGCCACGTAAAAGGACACGGCGGGCTGGATCTGGTCTTGAGTTTGACACCTGTGATCTACAGCGACACTTTTGGCCAGTTGAGGTAACTCAGTGCCATGAAAGTTTCATAACTTGACCAGTAAAGGCCCCGTTTTGTCATGAGCTTGTCTTGTTTGCTTTGTTTTGTTTTCTCAGTCCCCAGCTGCAGAGTAGGCGTTCCCTCACGAGTAGCACCCGTCTCGAACCTGGCCTCATTACTTTTCTGCTTTAAACCCATGCCGCGCCGACAACTGGCTGTCGGGTTATTCGCCTTGCTCACGACCCTGTCACCAAGTGTTTGAATCTTCTAGCTGTCTCTTGCTACGTATTTTCTCTTCAGGTTTTTGCATTAACTTTGTCAGTAGTCTTTTGTTGTTTAATCATAGTCTCGGTTTGTACTAGACACGTTTTGGGTTTTCTTGTCTTTTCACGACAAGCAATTTCCATTTAATTTAGTCCTTGCCTTTTGCGAGCGTTTTTGGTTTGACTTGTTTTCCTGGTGATTGTAACCGATGTCATTTGTCGTACTTTGTCGGTCTTACGCATTTTTGTATAAATAACTCTTTTTGTCAAATTCTTATCCGAGCCCAGGTTTGGAAAGTCCGATTTTGTCTGGATCATTCTGGATATGGATCATGACAAATCAAGTTTCGACCGCCGGCGTTAGTCGACGGCGTTCGCTCAGTCAAAGAATAACAACGTGACATTTCATGACGACGCAAAGTGACTTTTTCTCCTCACGAACGTCAACGGCGTACCGGCATGATCTGCTGCAGGTCGTCGAAGGTGGCGGTCGCCATGCCGACGGGGGCATTCGGGTCACATGGTGCGGTGGGCGGAGTCAGCAGCTTCCTGTTACGAGACACGGCCAGCTGACGTCGGCACTCAACACCATGATGAGAACGTCACATTTCTTACAATTACATGTGCCAAACGTTCATTTGCTTCGCCGTTCACTTTTCGTCAAGTGCTTGAATGAGGCGCGCGCTGACCTGTAACAGTAGAGTGGGAAGTGGATGTCCAGAGCGATGCTGTTGTAAACTGCCAAGCCCATCAGCTGAGCACTCGTTAAGGACAAGACACACACACACACACACACACACACACACACACACACACACACACACACACACACACAGACAGCCCTTTTCCCCAACATATTTGTGTCCATGTATGTAACATTGTAAAAGGGGGTAAATATTTAACAGTTCACACATTCACGAAGCTCCCCCGTGTGCCCTGTTTATACTTCGTCATGGCTTACTGTCGCCATGGTGACCAGACAGCACTTCCCAACATCAATGAGCTCTTGGCTCAAGAGGAACACGTACACATTTCCCACAATGGCTTCATTCCTTCCACACACACACACACACACACACACACACACACACACACACACACACACACACACACACACACACACACACACACACACACATTGGGAAAGCTGGCAAGGAAAAGGCACCTATTAGGTTATGTAACCTTTGACAGCTACCAGATGGCGGACAGCGCCCACAAACACATATAGGCACGGTTGCGTGTGTGTTTGTGTGAGTGTGGGTGAGGGAGAGTAGGCAGTGAAGTGAGGTCGATGATGCTGCAGCCAGAAACGAAGACTGCGTGTGAAGGATACAGTCCCGATGAGCTGAAACTCTGAGTAGTTGCTGTCACACTTCCAGCTGCTGAACCAATGGCAGCGAGACTCCTTCATGTATGTGAACATGCCTGACATACACACACAGATACATTGGTGTCGTCATGACAGAGAGCAGGGGGGGAAAAAAAAAAACACGGGACGGAAAGAAAAAGTAACAAGTCAAAAAGGAGAACGAAGAATAAACAGAAAATGGAAAGACATAAAGAGGACAAGAACACAAAGAGCGAGCCCAAGAAATCTGAAAAGAAGACAAAGAGCATGCAAAAAGAGGTAGTGGCGCATGGACGCGCGTCGCCCTGACCGTAGTCGTCGTGGAAGATCCGTCGGACGAGCAGCAGGAACCACTCCTTGGTTAGGCCGCCCATGTCCAGGCCCGCCTCCCCGACAAAGGTCACACGCAGTTTCTTCTTCAGGTCGCAGCGCTTCCTGCTCAACTGAAGACAAGCGCACACACGCACACTCCGTCAAGTCGGCCCGGCCGGCCGCTGGCAGCTCAGCTCGGAGCGACGCCGCTGATGCGACTTTGAACTGATTTCAAAAGTGAAATGAATGGGACCGGAAGCACAGCCGTTTTTCTTTGGCGCACCACTACAGGTGCTCGTGCCGCCTTAGCAATCTCTGGGACAGTCAGTTCCAAATTCAAGGCAAGAGAAAGCGAGTGGAAAAAAAAAAAAAAAAAAAAAAAAAAAAAAAGAACACCTTGGGATGAGCCAAGCAGTCATGTAAAACAAAATGGCGCGCTGACCTCATCCAGCGAGTCGGCGAGGAGTTGCGCCCGTCGCACTTTGATGTTGAGGAAGAGGAGGTTCATGTCCACGCGTTGCCGCCGTGACACTTTGCTCACCAGGCTTTGCTGTCGCGCACCCGAACGGCAAAAAGCGCTCAGCCAAGCAGGACGAGGAGGAGGCGGAAGAGGAGGCGAAGGAGGCACGCTCACCCTGGCCTGGCTGATCATCTGCTGCTCCGAGTCCTTCTGGATGATGGCCTTCTTCACCGCCGTGGACAGGATGAAGGGAAACTGGCAGAAGGAGAACCTGAAGGAGAAGCGCATCGTCGACTTTACTAAGGCGGCCGCAGCAGCAAACACAAAGTCAAAAGAGGGTGAAGGGTTTCTTATTTTCAGGGATCTTTGAACCGTGTAAAACGCCGGTACGGATGTTTATTTATCCATGTGTAACCTCCGCTATAATTTGGGCTGCGAGGCTAAGCTAGCCGACGTGAAGGTGCTTCGTTTGCCGTGAAGAATTGAACTCACAAAGGCGGTCGTTTATGTGCACGTAAGCACGATTCCCGACGGCGCTGGCGGCGATCAAACTGACCTGCTGGAGTTTCCGTAGCTCTGCCAGGTTCTGTACTCCTCCATGAAGTCGATGTGCTCCAGCGTGATGTTGTAGAAGTCGGTGAAGGGCATGATGGGAGGAGACGACACGCTGTTGGCCGCGTCTGAACGCCACAAGAAACCGGTGAAAACATCTTGGCCATGAGTCATCGGTTCCTTGTTTCACTCACAATTTCTGCCTTTCAAGCGCACAGATTCTCGCATTGCTGTGGTCCTCCATGAAAGCAGACTGAATACACCATCCAACAAATTTGGACTGCTTTTCAATTAGGCAGAGAGATGCAAGTCATCGATTTAGTCCCACTTGCGAAAGAAGGGTGAGTGAAACGCAGCCACAGGCGGATTTTTTTTTTTTGTCTCTAAAATACCGTAGCTCAAAAATGACAATGAATGGTAAATCTGCATTGCGACAGTTTTTATACAACAAATGTCGTCAGAAAAAAAAAAGGGGGTACAAGACTTTTTTTTAAATTTGCTGTGAGAACCAGTACATTGAATCAAAATGTTCCTCAATATTTTTTTCAATTACCGTATTTTCCGCACGACAAGGCTCACCTAAAAGGATTCAATTTTCCCCAAACGCCAACAGTGCGCCTTATAATCTGATGCGCCGGCGGGCGGACTCACTGAACAGAGCGAGCACTTTGGTGGCTGACGGGATCCACCAGGAGCACTTGGAGGCGGGAGGAAGCTCGTCGGGCTCGGCGGGAAAAAGGCGAGTGGAGATGAACTGCAGGAGGCGCTCCACCGGCTGACGGAACCGCCGGCCAGACAACCTGTGACGCACGCGCGCGATCTTCAACGTCCTCGTTGTGGTCACATACTTTCACGTCATCCGAATCGGCGTTGTCACGCCGTCGGCATTGTTAGCGTCGCACGCCGTCACCGACATCATCCCCCATCGTCATTGTCAATCGTCATTGCCATCGTTGACATCTCAGGCTGCCTTTGGATCACCGTTGCCATCGTCACTGTCGTCATTGACATTGTCATCGTCATCGTCTGGTGCCAACACCGACGTCATCCCATTCTCGTCATCGTCATCATCGTCGTCGTTCTTCATAATGCCGTCACGCCTTCCTTCATGTATCGTCACATGCATCACTGTCGTCAATGTCATTAAGCACCATCGGCATTGTTTTCATCACAAACAGATCATCTTCATCATCATTGTTGTCATCATCTTCGACATGGCGAGCCCTTACTTTTTCAGCCAGTGGACCAGGAAGTGATGATCGGCCTCGGACAGGGAGGCCATCTGCCTCAAGAGGTGAGCGTAGATCACGTAGGTGCTGGTGCTGGAATACTGCGGGTTCTGCAAAGGTAAAGCAAGTCAAAAGAGAAGAGGAGCAAAAGTCACTTCCGAGATGATGAGTGCGTGACACCCGCCTCCTTAAGAAAACCTGCAGCCAATTACAGTGAAGGTGTACGGAACATCAAAGGTTGCAACAAGATGAGCGGCGGAGAGAAACGCCACCATGACTTCATCGGCTCACCTGAACCAGGATGAAGTACGCACGCAGGTCATCTTTTGTCCGAGGCCTGAACACACACATTCACAACAATAACAAAGAACAAATGTTTAAACTTAAAAATACTTTGCTAAGTGCAGTGTGCATGCCAGGCCACTAGTAGGGGATGTCTATCGGTGAAAAAATACGTCACATGCAGGGCGTTGTGTAAAAGACGGAGACGTCGAGTAGCTGCGTGTTGCGTGCGTGTTGTCAAGCGGAGCGTGTTGCCATTTTGCGTGGCTCAGTAAAGCGCAAACATGACGTTATCGAGGTCCTCTCACCCTTTCCACTCCCTCAGAAGACTGTTGATGATTCCCTTCAGCACCGACTTTTGGATGTCCTCAGGCTGCATACACAAAAGGACGCACACATCTCTCATAAATGGACACACCCACCCACACAAATGATGTCACGTGACAGGAAGTGTCGTGCGAGGCATGACTGACAGTTTGGAGCAGCGAGTCGTAGACGGCGTTGATGAACTTGGCGTTGACTCCCGAGTCTTCGATGGTGTCAAAGGAGGCGTTGGCTTCTCGCTGAGAGGGGGGAGGGGCTTGAGGGTGAGCAAGCAGGAAGTACTTGTGGCCACCGTTGGGGGGG